GGCACAGTGCGTCTGCAGTCCGTTCCAGAACAGGACAGGTGATATACAGGATTACACACAGACAGCACTTCACCTAGGTGCACGTTTTTGGACCGTGAGAGGAAACTAGAATTGCTGTAAGAAACACAACACAGAACTTACAGTCTGCACACACAATGAGCCATGGGTAAGACTGAAATCCCCAGCCCTGGAGGGCAGGTCCCAACTCCTGAGCTATCCTGCTGTATCACGGAAGTCTTGAATAATTAACAAAACCTCCGTTTCCCATTCACAAATCCACAGATAAGGGATTTTGCATACAATGATTGTATCAAATGATTCATTTTTTGAATGACAAAGAAAAAAAAAAATTTACTCATTGTTGGGTTATGCAAATTTGTAAACAAAAACTAACTAATGGATCTGGGGGTGTTCTACAAAGCAGGATTTCTTGCTTAGTCTGATAACTTGTCTGATTTAAGGTAGTCTGAACTAGATGGATTTTATTCATTTACATTTAGCCAAAATTACCTTAAGTCTGACAAGTTATCCAGCTAAGCAAGAAATCCAGATTTGTCGAACCCAATAGTACTAGTTAGCAACAAAAAAAAATCATCCACACTTTGAGCTGGGTAAACAATAGTGGATTGTAATACACAACACTGTGCGATATCATCCCTGAGTACATAAACTAAAAGTTGTGTGTATGTTGCCTACTTAAGATATTTGGCACTTGTGTCCAGCTTTGTGGAACAAGCCCCTGTTCTCAAACATTCCTGAAACTCACAACACCATGTTTATTTAAGAAATATCCAAGAATTGTCCCCAAGTTGTGTGTGCATGGGAAAAGTTTAAAAATAACTAGTCTAACTTTAGTGTCCAACCGGCATGATAATAAACACCTTAGTCTATGCGCAGTTCTGTTTGCCATTTTTAAATATTTGCTTCAGCCAAACTGGTGTTAAATTGTCAATCAGATAATGTGGGAAAAAAAGCAGTTTTTTCGGACTTCTTTAAAGTTAGGAAGGCAAATTAGGGCAAATGGATGTTAAAGAGAACCAGGAGCTCCTGTTAACTGTGCCTTCTCAGTAGCCTTTAAAGGAGCACATTAGCATTTGTCTTTGTTGCATGCTAGCCGGCTAAATCAGAGCAAAGCTCCAAACACTCCCTTTGTGTGACGTGTCACATACTTTCAGGTTCACCGCTCAGCTATGGTTTATAGAGCCACACCTTAATGTTCTCCAACGGCTGCAGCATAGTTTACATGCTGCCAAGTCGAAGTTTAGAAATATGAATAATGACATCATCACATCCATCAAACCCTTGTTAAACACTTACTACACCAATCAGGGATTTAGCTATGTACACAGGCAAATTGAGACATAAAGTATTGTTTGAAATTATTTAGAGTAATAGGCTAATGTTTTTTTTTTTTTGTCAAATCGCTGTGAAAGCTTTTGTGTATATCGGCCCAACAGAAAAATCTATGAATATCTACGAGCAGATATGACACTTAAATTTGAAGGATCATGATGTGATTATGGTGCATTTCACATCTCTGTTTTAATGGTCATGGCTCACACAAGGAACTCCCACAATCCTTTGCTGCAGTATAAAGTAATGGGGGCACAGAGAAAGCCTGTTTGTTCTGCAGCACGACCCTCGCTGGGAAGCTTGGCATTCAGGCCCAGCTCTCCCACGATCCAACCATTCATAGCATCAGCAAAAGAGGCAAGTTTGCCTGACTTGGATCTTGTTGCTGCTGTTTTGTTGGATTCCATTGATGTCTAATAGCAAAGTAAAACATTTCAGGGTCCTTGATACTGTCCCTTTATCAGTCTGGCTGACAGGAATTCACCAGAAATGTCTTTCGGGGTGGAAATACTATCTGCTTCTATTATGCTGGTCTGAAGGGTGTTTATATTGTTTTGGGGTTATTTCACTGCTATTTTAAGATTCACTGGAACAAGACGTACGTTCTGCCTCCATGCCGCCTTACTGACTGAGGCACAATGAGCAGGAATTGTTGCCTTAGTGCCCTCAGGGCAAGAGGACTGCATGATGACCCATCTTAGACACTGGGCAGATTAAGCACCTACCCACATAGCTGCAGATAAGATAAAGAGTAAAAGGCTGACTCACATTGCACCAGGCAGGCTAAACACCTACCTGGTTTCGGGTAAGGAAAATACCAACCCACATTATACCAAGCAGGGTAAACAGCTATCTAAATAGCTTCAGGTAAGGTAATAGGCTACCCAGCTAAAACAAGGCAGGTTAAAGGTCTACACCCAAAGGTCAAACCGCGGAGCAGTGAACTGGATAACCGTGCACCCACAAGGTTACAGGAAAGGTTACAGGAAAGCAACCTGGCTGTGTGTTGCCCTGACTACAGACTTCCAGCTGGTATGAGGCTTCAGAGTGGATGTAAATCCCCTCCCTTGATGATTTCACTTGCAGGACGTTGCATGTGGTGAAGAACCACCCGCGAATGACCAGCTGGGACGACTGCTCAACCACACATTCACCATCAGGACAACAGGGCGGGCTGGCCTGCAGTAGGTCCCACACGTTGGCCACCAAGGCAGATGAAGGCCACTCACAGGACATGTGATGTCATGGACCAGTAAGCTAGATGCAGCTCATGGCAAATATTTGGATGAAAATCTCAGCTAGCCAACTCAATATCCATCCATCCATCCATCCATCCATCCATCCTTTCATATTCTAGCCAACCTGGTCAGGGTCGTGTTGAGGCGCAGAGCTGGGGTTCACCCTGGGTGGGATGTCAGCCCATTGTACTAAGTAGCTAGAAGTAAATTAACTAAAAACTATATAAGCTGGGGAAGTCAATGAACAGCATGTGCTTTGATCTGAGTCTATTTAAATTGCAAGACCATTTTTCACAGAGGGAAAGTACAGGGAAACACCCAGGGAAGGAGTCCCGCTCTTCCTGCTGTTCACGGCAGGCAGCAGACATGTGAGGCCCTCAGACTATATACTCTAAAGGAAAGGAGCTGCCTGAAATCCTGCAGGGAGTTTCTGAGAAGGGTACAGTTAATGGGGAATTCCAGTAAAATGCAGTATGTGATGTGGGTGGCCCTCTTTTACATTTCCAAAAACAGATGCGAAACTGCTAAAAGACAATCATGAATCTACGCCGCAAATTTGTTAATTAATTAAGGTGAGTGTATGTGTGTGGGTGAATGTGTGTGTGTGTGTTATTCCCTGCCTTGCACCAGTAGCTGCTGGGATCAGCTCCAGACCCCTGTGACCTTATATAGGACAAGCAGGTATAGAAGATGGATGGATGAAATTCCCCATTGAAATGACACCTATACTAACTGAGTATTATATTTAATTAAACAGTGTACTTTTCCTGCAAAATACCCACATTTCATCTAGCAATGGAAAACGGTCTTAAATAAGATGAAAACCCACTGTAAAAGCTGTTGGCCATTCAGACGGAGTAGGACTCCTCAGTGAAAATAAAAATTCCAAAAAAGATTTTTTTTTTCTTTCTTTATTATGCAGTAAACAGTAAAGCTTTACACACCATTGAGAACTAGGATAAAAAAAGAGCAATAAGCAAACATCATATAATCTTTAGTGACCTGGAAACTCACTGTATCATGCATTGTAACATTAATGTATAGAGGCCACAAACATACAGTTCCTCCCTCAGAAAGGACAAAGGTAGCACTGTCACCATAGCAACATGTCTAGCAGTGCTTTTTGTTAATGACACCATGCCTTATGCCCTCACTGGACTTCAATCATCGGGGAGCTTAATGATTTCAGTTCCTGTAGCACTTCTACCCAAGTGCATTTTAAAAATGCTATTACTACAATAATAATGTGTGTTTTTGCTGTATTGCTAACAATATATGGTAGCACAAGGGATATTATCACAGGAAGAAAAAGCTGAAATATATCTTAGACAATGTCTGACATGTCAAACATTCATGAACAATAGGGGCTAAAACATGGTGACATTTATCTGGTAAAAGTAACATTTATTCAGCTATTTTCAATAACTGTATCTAATTAGGGTTGCACTGATCCGAAGCCTATTCCAGGAAGCAGAGATGAGGCGGGTACAATCCAAACGAGAGAAGAGACAGTCAGTTTACGGGCAATTTACAGTCACCAGATCACCTGAATTTTGCTGGGAAAATAACAGCAGGAAACAGAAACTCTGACACACACACACACAGACACGCACACACACACGCACACACAAACGGACATGCACACGCACACGGACACGCACACAGGATGGGTTTGTACTCACGCCTCACTCTCCGGGCCACCATGTCCCACATAATAGTACTGAAAGTACTGAAACATACAAAATAAGCCCATTATAGGGAGCAAAGGGGACTTTTCACTTCTGAAAACTAAACAGCACTAGAATCCATGGCATTTCCCATTAGATGACCAAACGATCCAAGAGGCACACGTCATACAGCTCAGAACAATACAAATAAATGAATATATAAATATGAGAATATGTACAAAAAAAATATATATATATATAATATTTAGACAAATACTTTAAATTACCTGAAGGCTTATCCCTTCTGATAAAAAACACAAAGCACTATTGTGTTGTCCAGTCTGGCGGTTCTGCTTTTGGTGAGTAAGTGTGCTTTTCCACTGGGTTCCCTCCTGACGCCTGGACCCTGGCAGCCACCCGGCCCACATTCCTCCCTGTCCTCCCTCTGCCTGTAAACAGCTCCAGTGAAACGGCAGGCTCTGGGCTGGGGCGGGACGCTGGCATCTCATCGAGTCCTAATGACAAGCTGGGAGGCTCGACGAGCGGCCCCACCCCCCCACACACCTCCCGCCCCCCTCTCTCT